AGAGAGAGAGAGAGAGAGAGAGAGAGAGAGAGAGAGAGAGAGAGAGAGAGAGAGAGAAACGGATCCCCTTCACACGTATCAGAGGGTCCATGCAGGTGATCTGAAGGGTCCTCGCAGCAATTTAGCGCAGACCCTCCACCAAAATCAAGGCAGGCAGTGAATACGAAGTGAAGCACGAGCTGGCCAAATACATACTCAGGATTCGAATTCAGGTCTGTGTTTCAGCAGTTATCGGTTGCCTCACTTAGCTAGGCCCTGTTGGTCTCTGCACGTGATTCTCAGGGCTTGGCTGCACTACTCACCAAATGTGCAAAATTAGAATGAATCTTCCGCTAGAACGTGGAATAATACACCGCCATATAATTTGTCTTTTGTGGATGTGGTGCGCAGAGGCCCTTAGGACCACTGCACGTATTCCTAAGAAAAGGAAAACGAGAAAAAAGAGAATTAGTGACCCCTACCATGATGCACAGACCTGAATTCGGATCCAGACTACATATTATCGGCCCACGCATACAAACTGGAAGTCGAAAGTCTATCTCTGCTCCTCGTGGGGTCCTCGCTGATCCGCTGAAGGGGCCCTTCGGAAAAGAGACTGGACACAATTAGGACATGCACACCCACACGCACAGAGATGTGCCCACAGTTTTGGGGTATGGCGTGGCCCCGACTTTTTTCCCTCTTGCTTTCTGATTTTTAGAAGCTGGGGGCATGTTTGGCCACCCCACCCTGTCCTTTCGATTTTTATTTTTTTTTATGGGGGGGGGCTGCGTCGCATCACGTTCACCCACATGCGTGCACGTGCACTCTGCGCCGCATGTGCCACGACCCCGCGCACGGGTATGGTCCATCTCCGTAAGTGATCTTTGTTTATCTCTGTAATTGCCACTTCCCCCCCCCAGCGCGTAGAAACAGAAAACGCCAAAACGAAAAGAAGCATTCACAGGACACTGCCCTTCAAAACAAAACTCACAACGAAAAGCAAAAAACAAAATTGGGCCAAGAACGCCGTACAGAAAGCAAAACCGCAGTCAGTACTATCAGGGAGGGGCATGTAAGCAGAACACACAAGGAATGAGGTGCGATTCTTTCATTTCTTCTGGGTCACATACAGGCCAAGCCCAGTTGGTAGGATAAAATGCAATCACTCTGAATTATCAGGGGCCGGTCAGTTCAAGTGATATTACAAAAACAAGAAGGCTACGGCCACGGCAGACCTGTTCCCGCCCCACATCTCCCGCCACGTCTTACAAACAGGAGAGGGAGCGCAATCATCCTCTCCCTCTCC